ACCAATCTACACGTAATCCAATTTGCCCTCGCCGCCGACGAAGAAGCTCTCCAACAATTGTTTTTGATTATTTAATTTGCCAGAATTTTGCTTTGATTTAGTTTCGTTTCGTTTCGTTTCGCTTCGTTTCGTTTGGTTTGGTTTGGTTTGGCTTGGTTTGGGTCGGAGCAGATCCCTGCTTCCTGCCATAGCTTTATCCTGGGGCCTTGAGGCGGGTTCAGCCGACCACAAGATGTGTCCTTAGCCCTTTGCTTTGCTCTGCGTTGTCCCTGCCTATGATTTACTCCTGCCGCAGTTCTGGGACCTTGAAAATGTGGCAGAGAGCATTGTTACCAAACCTTGTTTTTGGCCCACAGACCGCAGTGCACCGAGTGCCACCGAATGCCACTGCCACAGTGGGCAACAAAAGCAGGTCGCCGAGTGGCGGTGGATCTGCGGAATGTGGCCAGTAATGCAGTAATGGGTGATTCGAGTACATTCGCTGATAGTTGAACAAACGCACCCATCTCGGAAGAACCTCTGAACTCCAATCCCTACTAATAAAGGGATTTCTGGAAATGCTGCTCAAGGACCTATAAACTGACTGGTTTCAATTTTCTTTGGCCTTTTAAAGAGTTATTTGAAGTATATAAAAAAAAAGTATATATAATATGGACGAATTATTTGGTGTCAGCATAGGACAATAAATTGGATACCTAACGGTCGACTCTCGACACAGGACGTGCAACATGGCTCATTTCCACCTCAGATGGCTCAAACCCCTTGGACCCTCTTTCACCGCTTTTGCACCCCTTTTAGCCTTTGTCTCTGTGCATTTGGCTTGACAGTCGCAGCAACCAAAAGTGCGCTATGAGCTTTTGTTTTTCGCCTTTCTCTCGATTCCAGTATTGTTTTGTTTCAGTTTTTGTTGTCGTTGCGCTTAGCCGATTTGTCTTGCCCTTTTCCCCGTTTTTCCCAATTTTCCCCGATTTCCTTGGCTATTTCTGCGGCTTGCCAGGCTTTCGGAGAACATTTTGCAGCACTTTTTGCAGGTTTGCATTATTAAAATACGTTTAAAGCTCGAATACCTTTAGACACAATTATCATCGGTGTGTTTTCTGGGCATAACTTTCAATCGCAGCTAATTGTTGGCGTCAGCAAAAACTTTCGGAGATTCCCCCACAATAATGCACGGTCCTCGCCTACAAATTAAATTTTGCCAAGCAAAAAAGTTGCAAATAATTTGCTTGTGGGTCGGGGGATAATCGAATATAACTTAGCCCCATGAAAATTATTTGTTGCGAAAGTTTTGCCCGCCTAGGCAAACTTTGCGACTCGTTTTGCATAATAGCGATATAATTTTTGGCCATTTTTCGACTCTGATATGGGGGCATTTAATTGATTTTGATCGATAGTAGAAGACTAATTGAGTTCGGCCTTGGTCTTAAGATGTTTGAGATTATAGACTTGACTTTGATAGATGGGTTAATTGCTAACTTAGTTGTGTGAGCTGTAGATTTACCTCTTATACAAGAGGTTTTTGCAGAGTTTGAAACGTGTATTAAAGTGTTTGTTGCAGTAAACCTAAATTCTTTTGGCAAATAGGAAAAACAACTTTCAAATGAAATTGTGCACCAACTTTACCAAGTTTTAAATAATATATAGAGGCCACACAACTATGTTGTTCATCCAATAAAACCTTTGGCTTGAAACTGAATACGTTCCCTCCGCAATAAAATTGAAATATAATAACCACCGTTCTGCGTTTTCGTTGTTGAATTTTCAGCGCACTCATGAATTAAAAAACAAAAAAATGTCAGAAAAGAGTTGAATTAATTTTAGAGAAATTTAATATATACACTTTATATTTTTATAAAATAGAGTAAGGGGCGTACTCTATTTTCGTTGGAAAAATAGCACTACTGGCCAATTGATCAACATTTTCAATAAAATCTGCTATAAACACGTTATTCCAAACGATTGTCAAAAATGTTTTCCTGCCGCATTTCAGGCGGCTTTGCTTAAGTTTTCCTGATTGATTTGTCGGAACCCACAAGACTTTGCCGACTTTCCCAGCTAGAATGCAGCGAAACAAAAGTCGCAGTAAATTAATAAGCCTGCCGCAGACGCGGGGGGCAGTAAAGCCCCCGGAACCCCCGGAACACCCGGAAACCCCGGACCAAAATAGTAACACATGGCCAAATAGTAACACATACTGACCTGACCTACTCTCCGGTTGCGGGGTGGAGCACGGGATCCAGAACGGGAACGAGAACGAGAACGGGAACGGGAACGAGAACGGGAGCGTTGCACAGCGGTGGCAGTGGCGAAAAAAATAACATAAAGAATAAAACACAAAAAAATATGTAGAAAAAAATATAGAAAATTTTGTTATAGAAAAAATTGTACTCTATGTGGTATAGGCTTATAAGTACGGGCACTTGAGCGTACACTGAGCGCAATGGGGCAACTCGCCCTTTGAAGGCGGATCATTTCAGCGAGTTAAATGCAATGATTTTTCACTAAGTTGGATTGAATCCCTGAAGTGGCTGCAGTTCAGCAATTTGGTTATTTATTTTACTGAAGGGGGGGGGGGGGGGGGGGGGGGGGGCCTTAAAACGGCTGACAACTAGAATATATATTAAGTTAATGTATATCTCTAATGAATTTGCCGCTGTGTAAAGTGGAGACTGGGAGCCTTTGGAGCCCTCGCTGTTTGAAGCCCCTTTGCTGCCCCCTGATCCCCGGCGAGAGTCCTTCATGCTGAGCCCCCGGAACACGCGATGTTACTGGAGGGGAGTATATATACGACAGTTGGGGTAGGGGTCCACATATATATGTACATATATGTATATATATACATATATATTCCGGGGGATGCAAAGGGGTCTAAAACGGCGACGGTGGGCATGGCTGACTTTATTCTGACGGACTGTTGCGTGTTTTGGAGCCAACAACTGCGATGTACTCGTTGCCATTGTTGTTGCTGTTGCTGTTGCTGTTGTTGTTTTCGTTACTTTGTTGTTGCGGCTTCCATATACTTTCTATTGTATTATATTTTATATGCTTTGACAAAGCCCCAAGCCACTTAGACAAACTGCTTCAACTTTCTGCCCGGCTCTTGTTGCTGTTTATTATTGTTATTTAATGTTTATAGTTCGCCGAACAAGACGCGATATGTGGGTGGTTTCGGGCGGCATCCCCCCTTCACTTTCGAAGGCGTAAGAAAAGGGATTATTAGCCATGTATATTAGATGACGTTACACGACCCGGCGGCCTACAAAAGAAACACGGAGAACCTCAGAGGAAATTGCTGGACAAAGTGGAACACTCGACACTGATCATCGCAATTACATACATACTATATCGGCATTTAAAGGTAGTAGCATTAAACATAGTTGAATCATGTGTTATATGTTTCAAATCATTTTTCCAGATTTAATTAATGCGTAGAAAATGTTTTCGCCTTAATGTGTACAAGTCTTCTAAACCTTGAACTATTAATGTTTTGCGTTCGAAAATTATTTTCGATCATTTCGGATTTTTCACAAAAAAATTAAAAACTTTTTCCTAACAAGTTCAATGGCATTATTCGGCAACCTAAACAATGAACATATAAACTGAAAGCTTTTGCGGAATTTACCTATGCACTCGGCACTATTTTTTTTAACTTGGAATCAATCAATAAATTGAGCTGCAAAAACAACATTCGAATTGCTAATTAGCAAGAGAGAGAATCAAATAAGAAAAGGCAAAGCGGAGATGACGATCACGATCACGATCTCACACACTCGAAAAAAATCTATATGCAAATAAGTTTTTATTGAGCACAACAACAATGGCAACAACGGTGGCGGCACAGATTGGATTCACTTTGTTTTTAGCACTTTTTCGCTGAAAAGATGATTTAATGGCACACAAACGAACAAAAAAAATACAACACAATTAAAAAAATATTTAAGTTGCGAGAAAAAATCCCAAATCATTAGCACTTTAATTGTGTGTTTGGGTTTATTTTCAGTTTCTTTTTTTTCGTTAGTTTATAATGGTTTATTTTTTGGTTTTTCCTTTTCTTTTGAAGCGAAACGCGTTTCGTGAAATCACCGGCTTACGTACGTTTATAATTTGCGTCAAAATCGCTGAGAACTGCGTTCGCTGTGGGAGCTAAAAGTTAAACCGTCGGGAGCCCAACTGACACCTTCAGTGCTTCGTTTTGCACTGAGCGCCAACGCAGCGCCAATGTAGCGCCAAAAACCGGTTCGGCTCCACGTCCAACGGTTCATGGGGACTCGGGCATCTTCGGCAAATTGGCCTTCGTGCCCGCATCGCATCATCTCGCTCTTCCCCTCTCTGCCGCACTGCCGTCCTATCTTACCCCGCCATCCCCGTCGCACATACTCGATTTCAATGCCAAGCCAAAGCAGCTGTTTCCAGCGTGGATTTTGTTGTTTTGATTTTTTGTCGCGCTCGCACGTGCGCGAGTGTGTGCGTGTTTGTTTTGTTGGCAGCAAGTGCAAGCCTACGAATACCGTACAACTTTAGATAGCGCTGAATTGAAGAAGAAGAAATAACTAGCATAAGCAACCTATGTACATAGACATGTACATACATTATATATAAAATACATAATATCTAATATCTAATAATAAAATACATATATATAATACATAATAAAGCACTAATTTACAACTCCTTCAAACAAACATACAAACAGCCCTAACTTATGTAGCAGAAGCAATGTAAAAATAGTTTATTGTGGGTGTAACAGATTAATACTTATTCAACAGATTTATGTATTAAGAAAGACTGCATTCTTTAAGTCTTACTTAAGTGATCTTCGAACAAAAATTGTACATCCCTTCATGCGATTTTCTTTCACATACATATGTACGTATAACTGAATTAATAAGTAAAAAAGTTAAAAACGCGCGGAAGGCCCAACAGACTCCTGCATACCTTGCATATTTACCACTAACGGCACTTACTCACGCCGTAGTAAAAAGAAGAAGACGGCTGGCGAAGAAGAAGAAACAGCAGAAACGCCAGTTAAAAGAAAGTTAGCAGCGCAATGATTTTAGTTGGGAATCGTTTATGGGACAGAGATTTTTCTAATCCAAATGAGTTATTCGGTCATTAGTAAAGCTATTAGGGTTCCATCCCGCACATAGTGTCTCCCACTCCCTCGCACTCTCTGCTGCCTGCATTCTGTGCCGAGTGCCTTTCACTTGATACCCTATACGAGAGATTTGTTAATGTGGTACCCTATTTTTTTGTGGAACTGAAATGTCCAAATTTAAGAGGGTAAGTATCCACTAGGTGGCTATTAAACACATTAGGTAATACATCACTTAACATTTTCGGAAAGATTTCATAGTGTACTTTAAGATTCGGCTCGAATTCGTAGCTTTTCTTATTATTACATATATGTACATATGTTACATACATATGTATACATATATTTGCAGTTGTTGTCATAAGCAACACAGAACGAATTTTTCAAGTTCAACATGTCGCCGCTTATTTTAATTTTAATCACACAACACAAAACATGAGCCGTGGTTATTGCTGCTGTTGTTGTGGCTTTTTGTGTTACATTTTAATGTTATGCGGCCTTTGTTTGTTTGTTTATGCACACAAAACATTCATGAAAGTGCCCCAGGGTGGACTTCAATTGTTCCTAAAATTTAAGGGGACGTGCGGTGCAGTTTGTAGGATTTTATTTGAGGCGGAACAGCAATCTAATTAATTTAAATTAATATAAATGCCTAACATCTGAATAACAAGAATTAGTCATATATGTATGTATGGCACTCATCTATTTTTTTTCCGAAATGAAGCGAAACTAATATGTGATAAATGTTCAAAAATAAGGAATTTCTGAACCTTTTCGAAGTCCACTCCAAATGACGCATATTTTATGGGATATTTTTCTGGCCCTCCTTATTTCGACTTTTGGGCCTTAATGTCCTCTATGAGATATTATGTGCCATGCACACACACTAGCACATATCCAAAGATAACTGTAATGTTGTAATGTAGTCCATTTGCGACAAATATGCGCACCCAAAAAATGCTCCTCGGACAATGGCTGAAATTGTTCGCATATTCATGACCGAATTACCCACATTCGGCTGGCGAGTGAGCGAGAGGAGAGACCTTCCAGGGGGAGCGAGAGGGAAGACGAAAAGGGGCGCGGGGAGGGGCGGATGACTGGACACAGCAGAACAAACAAAACCATTGGCAAGGCACGCAAATCTCGGCTATGACCAAAATATTTGCCAAAGTTCGTCGAGTCCTAAAAAATCAGAAAAAATGTACACCGAACAAAAAACTCAAAGCAACCTTGAATGCCAGAAGATTGAGGACGACTTGCAATAGTAAACATGTTTCCTATTTCCTATTATTCAAAATTTTAAAACATCTAGTACTTTGTTTTCCTGTTTTGTTGTCAATATTTTGAAAACCTAAAGAAGTAGTTTTCAAATAACATAAACTTTATGCTACAAAGAGACGAAGAGGCAAGTTTTATAGTTTTAACAGATATAGTCAATAACAAGAGATATTTTCTAGACTATAAGAGACCATTTACTTGCCGCATCAAACGAAACTTGCAAAAATAACAGTAAATTCCAAAAAATTTTCGAAATTGTGGGCGTGACAGCTTTTGCGGCTTGTGGGCGTTAGCTTGGGCGTGGTCGAAACGTTCATACGGACGAACAAACGGAAAATGTTGTTCTGTAAATCCCTGATTTCTGATTTTAGTACAATATTTTATAATACATATGTACCTTTAATTTTGAAACGCATTTTTTTTGTTTCCAACGACTATTTTCCATAGGCCAAATTCAGTTTGTGATAACCTTATTCAAATCTGAAATATGTCATTTTTTTTAGTGTGCGAGTGTGTAAAAAAGCATTGCCAAGAAATCAAAGTGAGAGAGTTTGACGACGGCAACGGGGGGATGAAACCAGGCCGGATATATTAGCCAAGACAGGACAGGGACAGGGACAGCATCATCGTTTCATTTTGCTGCCTGCGTCAATGACAACAAATTTCATGTAAGTCCTTCTCCCAAAAAATTGGTGGGGATTCACTCCATTGACGATGGGCAACTAATATTTGCCAAGCGTAAAGTAATAAAATATTTCCTTGGTCAATAAATGCAATGGAATGTGTGGCCCAGAGCCGAAGACTCGAATGAAATGGAAACGAGTCCAAAAGCGCTAAGGACGCAGATACAAATTAAACGAGTTCAGGGAAACCCACGAACTTGATATGCTCTAGTAAATAGAGCATTTTGGAAAAGGGTTCATCAAAATATAAGTGAATCATATGTGTAAAGCAAAGATGTTTCATATTTTTAAATAAAGTAAAGCAAAGATGTTTTATATTTTTAAATATTTCAACTGAATATGTATGGAATACATATTGAAAAAAAATATTTCAAACTGGAGTAATCTATTTTTTCAGAATGCAATACCTCTTTATGCCAACGAGCATTTACATTCCATAGAATTCCATCGAATTAAACTAGAGTGATCAAAAACAATCTATTATAATAGAGTGAACAGCAAGTGTGAGGGAACTGACTTTGAATGTTGAGGATTATATCCTGTCATCGCCTCCTGAGCACCTCCCCCTCTCGCCTGGACCTTATAACAGTTTTTTCTCGTTTTCATTTTTCCTTTGGAAGCACTCTGGTGTCATTTTAATGCCCACTCCCGCGCTTTTCTTTCGGAGGAATATACGTAAAAGCTTTTATTGTCATTTGTTTGCTTTAGAATGCAATAAAAATGTTATGCCAAAGGATAAATAAATACGCCTGCATGTTGCCAAAAATCAACATGCGACTGACACGCTATTCTATCCTCCTATCTTATATATGCATTTCTATAAAGAGGAGCACATTTATACATCAAAGATGACCATCGAAAGGAGCGAAAAAGAGCGGATAGGAAAATTGTCTGCAAAAGGACTTCCATGGAGGAGGGCGCAGTTATCAAAGGTGCTGGAGAATAGCAAAAAGATAAAGAATTATATTATATTACACAGCTGCGTGTCTGGCGGTCAATATTGCTATTGATAATTTAACTTCCTTTGATTGAAGTCTCTTACTTGCAGTGAATGGTCGAAGGTAACAGCTCGGGCATCCACCATTATTTTATATTTGTTATTTTCAACAAGGCTCAGCACTCAATCGCAGTAGCAGTAGTAGGCACAAAAGCAAACGTAACATTTATAGAGTCCAACCCGACCCCATCTGAAACCGCTGGAATGATGACAGTGCGCGGCTACATCCGCAAGTTTTTGCTGATGAACTGGAAGAACCACAAGTTGCAGCTGGCCAATCCGTTGGAACTGGTGGTCATATTACTGCTGCCGCCACTGTTCACTCTCTTGGCGGTGCTGATGCGGTTCTTCATACCGGTGGATCCCCGATCCGATAGGGTGTACGATCCCATCGACCTGGACCGCAGCTGGATGCAGATGATCGACAAGCTGGAGCGGGCGCGACAGGTGGCCGATATGCACAACGTGATGGGGAACCCGTTTACGCCGCATCTGATCATTGGCTGGGCACCGAAACGCTATACCATATTTCAGGCCATGATGCGCAGGGTCGAGAAGCAAGTCGACCCGATGACCATGGTGGGCTTCGAGGATTGCGAAAAGATGCGAGAGTCGATGATCCAGAACAGCCTGTTCGCGGGCATCTGCTTCGATGGGACTCCCTTCGATGAGAACGAAGTCTTTGAGGAGGACACCTTGGAGAGCACTACGAACATTCTGCCGATGCTCAACTACACAATCCTCCTGCCCAGCGAGCTGAGGCTGCTGGACGGCGACTTTCGGATGGCCAATTGGATGACCCTCTACAATGACGATCCGCACACCTATGTTCTGATTCGACTCAACCAGCCGTATGAGGGCGGATTCGTTGGCTATGTTCGCGAGGGCTTCATTCGGCTCCAGAAGGCCGTCAGCGAGTCCTTCCTGCTTCTGACCAGTCACAAGTCCTTGCCGACCATACAGATTAGACGCTTTCCCGTCACAGGCCGCAAACAGGATCCGCTGATGGGCAATCTCGACTACGGCATGTCCTTCATAATCATAATAGGGTTCCTCTTTCCCGCCCAGCTACTCGTGTGGGTAAGCCGAAATCCTCAATGACGTCGTTGAAAGCACTTCTAAGCTTATTCTTTCCTTAGCAGGTGGTATCTGAGAAGCAGACCCAAGTTCGCCAGTTTCTGATCAACATGAACATTGGCAATCTCATCCACTTCGTGTCGTGGTACCTCAAGGGCTTAATATACGAGATGATAAGCTCGGTAATCATCGCAGGACTTTTGAAGGTAGGATACATTTCAATTTCCTTGTCATCGTTAGAAAGTCCTCCCTTGACCAGTGAAACCCACAATCATTTGTCATTTGCAAATGATTCATTCTTAGTCTTGGCCTTCTTGTATAAGTCCGCATGCTACTTAATCTACACTCGCAAAGAAGTTCGAAGCACACATCATTTTAGCTCGATGATTATCGTTATGCTAACATACGAATATGATCATTTCCACACTCTGCAGATAAGGTGGGACCAGGACCATGGGGTGCTGACCCAAACACCCTGGTACATACTGCTCCTAGTGCTGTTCTGCTACAACTGCGCTACGGTGGCCTTTGCCCTAATGGTGGCAGCCTTTTTCCGGAACGCCCTCAATGCCGTTCGGGTGTTGACAATCTTGTGGATAATGTCCTACCTGCCCACCTTCATTCTGTCGAACAACGTGGAGGGAAATATCCACGCCCTGCGCTACGTGTCGTATGTGCTGCCAAATGTGGTGGCAACTCTGGTGTTCGAGTTTCTCATCGAACGGGAGTCGATCGTCCATCTTACGTGGGAGGACAGTGGGTACAACCTCAACTACAACCCCGGCCCCATAACGGTGACCTCCAGCGCCTGGATCCTGATACTCAACTCGTTGGTCTACTGCACAATTGGTCTCTACGTGGACATGTGGCGAGGTGGCAATCGATCCGCTAAGAAGGCGAAGAAACCCACTGATGTCATTGCCAGTATACACGAAGATTCATACCACGATCGGGGGGACAGCTTCACTCATCAGAACCAGGCCATTGGCGTTAACTCCACGAAAATCTATGAGGTGGAACCCTCCCATCGCCGCTTCAAGGTGAAGATCAAGAAACTGTGCAAGCGGTTTGCGGCGAACGATCGGCCGGCATTAAATCTCTTCTCTTGGAATGTGTACGAGAACGAGGTCACCGTTCTGATGGGCCACAATGGCTGTGGGAAGAGTACACTGCTCAAAATACTAGCCGGCTTGGTGGTACCCAACCGGGGCACTGTGATGATATCCACCCACAATATACAGACGGAACGGAAGGCGGCCTTAATGGAGCTGGGCATCGCATTCAGCTATGACATGCTTCTGACCGGCTTCACTGTCCTTGATTATATGCGATTCATTTGCCGAGTCAAGGGACTGCACAATAACATCGAGATCGATGGCCAGTCCAACTACTATCTAAACGTTCTGCAAATCGGAGACCTAAGGACCAAGCGAATCCGCACTCTCACCGATCGCGATCTGTGCCTGGTTCTCATTTGCTGTGCCTTTGTCGGTAATAGTCCTATAGTCCTCATAGACGACATTCACGCGGATCTGGACAAGAACTCGCAGTCGCTGGTCTGGAAACTGATTAACGAGGAGAAGTCCAAGCGCACTATTATCCTGGTGTCCAACTCGCCGGCTCTGGCGGAGAATATTGCCGATCGGATGGCCATTATGTCCAATGGGGAGCTCAAGTGTACCGGAACGAAACCGTTTTTGAAGAATATGTACGGACATGGCTATCGATTGGTGAGGTTTTAAGTACTCCGTTCTCCTATTCCTGCAATTTCCAGAGCATACTACGAGCTCTTAAGAATCCGCGTATTACATTTCTCTAACAGTCTTGATTCCTCCTCCATCTGATTGCTTCCAGACCTGCGTAAAGGGCAAGAACTACAAAATGGAGGATCTGTTCGGCATGATGAACAGCTATATGCCCAACATGAGTATCGAGAGGGATATTGGGTACAAGGTCACCTTCGTGCTGGAGAACAAGTACGAGGATCAGTTCCCTATGCTGATCGATGATCTGGAGAGGAATATGCAACAACTGGGCGTGGTCAGCTTCCGGATTCGGGACACGTCGATGGAGGAAATCTTCCTGCGATTTGGATGCGAGGACAATGAACAGAGTGGCGCTTTTCAGTCGCACGAAAACACCCAAATCCTGCTGGAGGAGTACTATTCCACTCTGGCTTGGGCCAATGAAAAGGGTCGTAGGGCTGGCTGGAAACTGTTTTTATTGCATGGCAGGTATTTGCAGTATTCTATAAAAGCTATATACATATATTTTGAAAAGAGCTCCACCAATAGGTATTTCCTTTGAATAGTGTGATGCTTCAATAGCTGCCCTTATTTATATTAATCTCTTACAATTTTTTTTTTATTATTTTTTTTTTTTTTACAATTTCTATCGATAGGCCAAAAAGAATGTTGAACTTTCTCGTTGACACTCCCACCATTTCCTTTAAATAGTGTGATGGTTTAATAGCTGCCCTTATTATTTATATTAATCTCTTACTATTTAATTTTTTTTAATTTTTTTTTTTTTTATTATTTTTTTTTTTTGACAATTTCTATCGCTAGGCCAAAAAGAATGTTGAACTTTCTCGTTGACACTCCCACCATTTCCTTTAAATAGTGTGATGGTTCAATAGCTGCCCTTATTATTTATATTAATCTCTTACTATTTAATTTTTTAAAATTTTTTTTTTTTGACAATTTCTATCGACAAGCCAAAAAGAATGTTGAACTTTCTCGTTGCCACTCCCACTAGCTGAATAACGGGTATCTGCTAGTCGAGGAACGCGACAATAGCATTCTCTCTTGTTTTATATCGATACTAGTAAAAAATTATATATCGATACTGGGAAAAATAACAAATGAAAGAGGCATTAATATTATTTACCAAGCATTATTTGAAGCTTTAATATGTAACCCTAATGCCAGGGCGGTGATCTTGAAGCGTTGGATTGCGGCCCTCCGACACTGGACCGTTTTGATTTTCGAGATACTGGCCATGGCCCTGATAGCAGTGTGCACCTTCTCCGGCGTTTTCATCTACGACAGGAACTATGAGTTGGCACCGCTGACCTTTAACCTCAGCCAGCTGAACACAGTGGACGCCTTCGTGGAGCTCTTCTCCGACGAAGAGGACGTCAAGGACATGTACGCCTACTACACGGAGCTGCTCTATTGGTACGACGCCCATGTGGCGACGCTGACAAGAGGTCGGCAAAACGCATACACCTTGTTGACCCAAAACGAGTTCACCTCCCATGTCAACTCCCGCTACATTTTCGGGGCCACCTTTGATGAGCAGATCGTCACCGCCTGGTTCAATAATATACCACTGCACGCGGCGCCCTATGCCTTGAATATTGTCCATAATGCGGTAGCCAGGTGGGTTCAATTTGGTTTAACAGGTCAAACATCTTTGATAAAGACGTTCGAGATTTGCAATGCAATAAATACTTTCTGTGCGAACTTTCTGTTGCATTTTAATTAATTCGTTTCAAATACCTTTAAATATTAACCGCATGCATGCACATTTTCATACCCAACTAGTTCAGGGTTCATACACTCAACCTTTTTTTGTATACCATATGCCACAGGCACTTGTTCGACGAGGAGGCCACCATCGACGTGACCCTGACGCCGCTGCCATTCCGGACGACCATCAACTCCTTCCCGCCTAGCAGTCACACCTTTGGCGGCTGTTTGGCGTTCGGTATTAGCTTCGTGCTAACCTTTATCTGGCCAGCATTCTCGATTTACCTGATCACCGAGCGAGGAAGCGTGCTGAAGAAGCAACAGTATTTGGCCGGAGTCAGGGTGTGCA